AGATAAGAAAAAAATTAACCATCTTTGAGTACCTACTGTGTCCCAGGTTTTATTTTAGATACAATAATCCTGTGAAATAAGGGTTAATCTTCTCTATCTTAAAGATGAGGAAACCAAGACTATGAGAGATGTGTGTCCCAAAAGGCACATCACCAGGAGTGGAAGAACTGGAATCTGAACCAGATATTTCTGATTTTAAAGTGTCTTTTAAAGTGCTTCAGTGGAATTGGTCCCCTGACAGTCTGCTTCCTTTCTGCTTATACATTTATCTTCCTAAAACACAACTGTGATCAAGTCACTTTCCTAAGTCTTTCAGTAAGTCCTCATTGTTTATTCTTTAAAAAAAAAAAAGTTTATATGAAAATACTGTAAAAAGAAAAAATTATCCACATTCTTATGTCTTAAAAGTTAATGTGTTAAGCTTCTCCATTTCCACAGCATTCTCCTCTTCACAGTGGATACAATTATCCTCCTAAATGTTCTTTCTAGCCGCATTTAGCTTTGTGACTTTTAACTTTAATCTACTTAGACCTTATATGGCATGAGGTTGAGAGATATTTTTATTTTTCCTAATAGATAATCATTGTCCTAATGCCAGTTTTAATAATGTATCATTTCCCTACAATTCAAAAATGCCACATCATATTTTAAGTATCCGCACATAGTTAAAACATTTTCTAGAGAATTTTCATTTTATTTATCTGTTTCATTATTCCTACATCATTATCTTGCTATCTCAGTGGCTTTGTAATAAATATTAAGATCTACTATGCCAAATGTCTATCTACTGTACTATTTTTCAAAAAATTATTTTCAGTTATCTCATATCTATTCATCCTTGTAGAATTTAAAAGAAGTTTGTCTAGCCCACCATTAATCCACACATGCTAGAAAAAAGAAATGAATTTTTGTAATAATTCTGATTGGAATGTCAGTAAAGTTAAATATGAATTTAGGAAGTATTGGACTCTTTATGATAGTAATTTTTTACTCATAAGTATACGTCTTTTTATGGATTTAGGTTTTGCTTTATGCCTTTAGAAAAACCGAATACTGTGTTCTTCATACAGTTCTTTTTTTGTAAATTTAACAAAATATTTTATAATATTTATTATTAGTCTTTTGCTTTTATTACTTAAAAGCTTCATGGTTCTTGAAATACAGACAATTCATAAGACTTCCAGTGATTTCTCTCATAGTCTTGGAATAAGGAAAAACAGAAGACAAAAAAAGATTCCATCTACAATAGGTGCAAAGGGTAATTGACAACTCCAAGTAATGATAACTTGGAATTCTCTTTTTATTTTTTTTTGAGTCAGAGCCTCTGTCACTTGGAGTGCAGTGACATACTCACAGACACCCCAGTCTCGGCCTGCTGGGTTCAGGTGATCCTTCTGCCTCACCTTTCCAAGTAGCTGGAACCACAGGCCTACGCCACCATGCCCAGCTAAGAATTTTCCTTTTAAAAAGCTCTTTTCAACATACTTTTCATCCAACCCCATTGCCCTCTCCAATTTTGTTGGGGGCTGTGAACTGCTATGGATGGATAGGTGCCCACCATGACCACATTCGACTTCCATGGCTAAGCCAGCCCACAGGACTTGGGCTGGAACAGGGTGGTTCTGGAGTGGAATGGGGATCATCAGGGCCTGTCCTGCTCAGTACTTGCAAGTGAACACCTTATCTGTACTCAGAGGATCACAGCAGATTCTGGCATAAGACTGCAGAACTGCCTCCAGGAGGCTTTGTTTTTCAATATATCAGAGAACTGGATTTTGTTTCATGCTATAGTTTAAATAAGGAATCTATTATTTCATGGGAGATAGAATTCTACAAATTTCTTCTGTTATTCCAAGAGAAGAAATAGGTCATCATAGAACACATTTTCTTATTTGGAATTGCCCTGGTAAAAAAATTGTGTTGCTGAATGGTAAAAGTGGACTTTTGAAAATGGAGACCTTTGTTCTCATTTCTCAAGTATGTCTGGGTTGGCACATTTGCATTTGCTGTTACTAAAGAGCTTCCTTCTTTCAGAAATATATTCCCAAATTGCTAACCGAGAGACCCTGGTGTTCGTGAGAACAGAAGGGCCTTTTCTTTGAAGCAATCTCTGAGTAGCTGCAACACAATTGAACACCTGGAAATTTAAAAAAAAAAAAAGAGAGAGAGAATTCTCTGAATACTTTTTCTGGTAATTCAGAAAAGAGTGGGTTGACCAGTCAATCTACTCTTCTTCTTCTTCTTCTTTTTTTTTTTTTGCTTTATCCTTTTCATTCTCTTTTGGTGCTTTTCAGTAATTATTGCCTTGTAGAAAGCAGGTAATTTATGTGGAAAAATTATGAAACATCAAATGCCACAAACCTATATTCAAGGACTTCCAAAGGAGCCCAGAATATCAAATTGTCAGTTCAAAATTGTTGAACTGCTAGTCACTTGATGAAGATTAGAAGGCTGAGATTTTTGTAAAAACTGTGACCAGTGTGATCGTGAGGGCTGGATCAAGATATTTGCAGAGGGTACTAAACTCATAGTAATCCCACCTGGTAAGTAACTTTTTTCCTTATCTTTGCTTTAGTAATAAAAAACTGATAGATTCCTTTTTTTCAGAAAAAATAATCAATTTATCCATTCTGTCACATTCTTGGTCTTAATATATTCACAGCAATTTTGCAGGTACAGGCTACTGACTATGGAAACAAAACTATTTTGCAAATTATTTCTTCTCTTCCCTGTCTATAAGCAGATTGAAATTCTAATTTTAGAATACACCCACACACATACACACACACAAAGGGTAGACTTGGGCTAAAAATTAAAATGTTTTGAGGACCATGTCTGCAAACCATTGGTGTAAATTATTGGTAAAATATACTCTTTTTGGTGGTCTTTTAAGTGAGAGACATGCCAGTGGAATTGTATTAATTACTTCTCTGTGCTTTGAGTTGTAATATAGTGTTCCTTTCTAATGATAACCTGTAAAACCTATATTATTGTTTTTGATCTCATCCCTAGGAACAAAATTAATTCTTATAACAGATTACTATTGATGTCAATATATTCCGCTTCTTACTGCTCTAGTTGCTTTGTTGGTAGGCTAAGATCAGTCAAAACTTATCCCATTATGACTCATTATACTGCCTGGAGATAGCCCAGTTTAATAGAATGTGTAAGTTCAATGAGCCATTTCAGCTCCAAGGTCAAGGAAAAGAATCTTGAAGGCCAGGTGTAGTGGCACATGCCTGTAGTCCCAGATACTCAGGATTCTGAGGTAGAAGGATTGCTTGAGCCCAGGAGTTGGAGGCTGTGATGAGCCATGATCATGCACTATACCCCCAGCCTGGGTGAGAGTGAGACGCCAACTCAAAAAAAAAAGGAAAAAAAGAAAAGTCTTCATGGTTTTACAACTTCATTTGTTCGTTTATTATCTTAGCACATATTTATTTAAAACAGTTGTTTTGTGTTCGATGTGGGGGAGAAAAGAATAAACAAGACATAGTCCCAATGCTCACTAGCTGCCAGCCTAGTGGCTTAAGTCTAGATTCTGGCTTGACTTGACCCTGCCAGTGTTCTTTGCTCTGTGGTTGCCAGAGAAGCGGGGGATCTTGGGTTCATGAACTCATTTTTTTTCTTAATTTGTGTAGTCGTTTATAATATCTATATGTTGTGTTTAGTAAGAATTTGGTGTCATGGCCCAACATTATCCCCTTCAAGAAGAAACGAATACTAGCTAATAGGTATTGAAAGCCAGATATCATGCTAAATAGTTTCAATGCCTTCTCTCATTCCTTAACAGCACTACATACTCTTATTCCCATTTCACAGATGAGGAAACTGAGGCATAGAGAAGTTCATTTACTAGTCGCATGACTAGTTATTGTGGCAGAGTTTGAGAGCTAACTTAGACTTACCTTTTCTTAAGTGCACGATCTGGACTCCTATGTGACATTTAGAAACATTAAGTCACATTTTTATATTCTAAAAATTTCCTTTTCTGTAGCTTGACCCCTTAAATGGACTCTTTAATCGACTAATTAGTAACAGTTCACAATTTGTATCACTACTCATGCATGGACACAATGCTTCTGCTTCCAATTATGATACTGAAATTCCCTTTCTCCCTAAAAAAGATCATGAAAGTCATATTGAATATGCACTTAATAAATATTCAAAATATAATTCTTAGGGTATTTCTATAGAATGATGAGTTATTTTGATAGCATTCCATTCAATTTTCTTTCTGTACTGATATCAAATTTGTACAAATATTGAAACTGGTAAAGGAGCTATTGCCACCGTACTAAGTTGCACTAGCACGTTGTAGAACCCAGAGCTAGCTAGGATCCTTTGATGAGCAGCACGGTATTTTTTTAGTTCAGTGCTCTGGAAACTATATGAGTATTTTCAAGTCAAAAAGAGCAGACTTTCTGTAATAATGAATGAATAGCTTAAGAAATCATCATTAAGAATTCATATTTTGGAACAACTCATCTGTTACACTGTTAATGAGAGTCGCATTCTGAAAAGAAGTTTCTTTAAAATCAATCTAGATGCTCATTTCTCTTTGCACATGCATCACAGATACCTATAAATAATATTGAATACACATTTATTAAATGTTCAAACAAAAGAATCTTATTGTTTCTTTGAAAATTAAGAAACGATTAACTCTAAATGACACTCTAGACAAAGAACTGACTTTATGCATGAAAACTCTTTAAGGGAAGAGATTTAGATGATATAGGCAAAATGATGAGAAAAGATAGAATCAGACTTTCCAGTGTTTGTGCTGCAAGAAGAGATCATTACCTTGGCAGAATGGAGTTCGTTCTTAAATTTCTGATTTCTGATTACATTCTGTGATTTTGTTTGGGATTTGTCTTGGTTTAATGTCAGCAGGACCAATTTTTATGTATTTATGTAAATATTGGAAAAATATTGGCACCATTTAAAAACAAACACAAAGGGAGATTTTTATAAAGGCTTTTCAGGTAGTGGGCAAGTTGATGGCAGAACATACAAGCTGTTTGGTTCTGGAACAAAGCTCATCGTTACAGGTAAGTTTTCTTTAATTTTTGCAGCGTAAAGTAGGAACAAGAGGCAGGTAGGAAGGTGCTGGCTCAGAATTCTAGGATTCCCTCCTGGTTTGGTCACTCATCATGGTGGGATCTCCAGAGATGTCAGGCAACTCACCGGTCCAGGCGTTAGGAGGCAGAACCTAGCATGAGAGATATTAACAAGGAGCTTAGAGCCACTGTGGATTCCTAAAGGATGGAGATATTATGTCCCACTTGTATCTCTCTGTTGAAAGTTTTGCAAATAAATTTAGGTTAGATATTTTATTTACTTGATTCAAAAAAATAACTAGTGGAAAGTGCAATCTGCTAAACTTGTCATTCAGTCACAGAGGTATTAAATATTTAATGATTTGGCCACAGGATGGTCAATATCAAATGTTAAATTATTTCACTGTGTGACTCTATTCAAGAATGACATAAGTTGCAGTTAGTTGGTTTTTGTGTTGTTGTTGTTTTAATTCAGCCTAAAATGTTTGTGTACTCCTTATCAGCTTAAGCATCAAGATGTAATTTTACCAGAATGAGGAAAAACATCTCACAAAGATATTCCTAGCCTATTAGATCTACCAAATTGAAAAAAATTCAGAGCCTTTTCAAGTTGATAAGGCATTGGGAATAATAAGAGATATCATATATTTTGGTTTCTTAGTGGTGCAGATCATATGAAGAAATGAACTGATAAATTAAAAAAGTTATTCTCCAATCCTCTGTTTTTCCAACTGACTCAGTATGAATAATAGCAATGAAATTAAGTCATGGTAACACAGGTGTAATTCAGAAGTTTTCCGAGAGGTGATTTTCAGGAAAGTGTGGTGCAGGAAAAAGTAAAGACTTTGATTCTGGATGACTTCTGGGGCTACCATTTTCTGTGTAACTGACCTTTAACAAGTACATTTTGACTACTTAAAGTTATAAAAATGCTAATATGTTATAGAAAATTCTGAAAAAACACAAAAATAAACCAAAAATTAATATACAATGTTGATGTTCTTACCATTAATATTGTTATATTTTTATTCAATCATTTTATCTATGCATATTTTATTTTTGTTTCACAAAGCTGGGATCATACTAGACAATAATGGATCTGGTTTTTCTCACTTCACACTAGTTCAGGAACATTCTTTTCAAATATCCTTAATGTTATTCAGTTAACTGAGCAAGTTTTGAAGTTTAGCTTATCTGTACGATGATGATAGGAGATTATCTATTTCAAGTGGATATTGTAAATACTAAATAAAATTAAATATGGAATTTACCTACCACAATGCCTGGCACTCAACAGGTGACAGAAATATTAATTCCTTCTCCAGAATTCAAGTTACTACCTATTTGAGGTCTTAATCAATTTAGGAATACAGATAACCATCATGTATTCTATAGCTCACTTTATAATAAATGTCACAATTTGCAAAATGCTTTCTATGTCTAAGACGAATTTTACCTGCTTCTAAAAGTAATTAGAATGTAATATGCATTATCCAAAATATTATCTGCCTATATTATCTAAAATATGATTAACCTAACTATATTTGCTAGGACAATTCTTCATTTTCTAGGAGAAATACCTAGTAGTTTAAAAATGAAAGGTTTAGCAGGAACGGTGGCTGATACCTATAATCCCAGCACTTTGGGAGTCAGAGGCAAGAGGATTGCCTGAGCCCAGAGATTTGAGACCAGCCTGGGCAACTTGATGTAACCTTGTAACTACAATAAATCAAAAAATTAACCATGCATGGTAGCATATGCCTGTAGTTTCAGCTACTTGGAAGGCTGCGAGGAAGGAGCACCTGAGTCCAGGAGGTGGAGGCTGCAGTAGTGGAGAGTGTGCCACTGCACTCCAGCCTGGGTGACAGAGTGAGACTTTGACTCAAAATAATAATAATAATCACAATAATAATAATGTGAAATTTTTCCCCCAACTTGCAACTATAAATTTATAGGGATATAGATAAAATAGTCAAACCTATAAAACAGATTATTCCTAAAAATTTAAAACTTATATCAATACAAATATCAGTTGAGAAATATTGCCTTTTTCCCTTTATATTTCATTAAAATATTTGTTCAGACCCTTTACATTCATCTAAAACATCTACCTTAGAGCAACTGTCTAAGTCATCTCAGGTCTGAGTGTTTGTTTTGAAATCCCTGTATTGATGGGGTTCCTGGATATTTTATTCCAAGGAATAAGTATCCACTCACAAAATAAAAAGAAAGCATTTTTCCCATTTATTCTGTTATTCTGTATATGTGTGAAATTAGTAAAATCTGCAGAGACTTTGGTCCAAAGTAATAATGACAAAATTCACGTTAAATTTCTCTACTTTTTTTCTTTCACCAGTGTTATCTCCAAAATTAACATTAATTAAGTTCATTTCATGTTGACAAGTTGTCTAGGTAGTATTTTTGGATGAAAGCCAGTGTTGGAAGAGCATCTTTTCACAAGAGAGGTTACACATAAACTGCACCATAAGGCACCCCTTGTATTGTGAAGGATAATTTTGGGAAAGTTTCTTTTATGCTCTGGCACTTTTAATCTGCTTAAATTCAGCATATCTGTGTCTCTATCACAGTCTAGGATTTGCAAACTTATTTTCCATCCCTTGTGTCTTATTTGAGCTAGACCATATAAAACAATCGACCCCAGAGGCCAAAAGAGAAACATACAATAATGCACAAACGATTTATCATCTATGTAAGGTACCAATTTCCAAAATCTTTTTGAGAAGACCTAAAATAAAACACACAAGTACAGTCAGAGCATTAAATTAAAATAGATGATCAAAAAGTCTAAGGACAGAAGAAAAAAGATCTATGAATACCCAGCAAGAAGCACAGGGTAAAATTTTATGCTCAAAGGTAGGAGAAAAAGGAAATGGAATAAATAACTTGTTATGAACTGATGAAAAGCACACCAAATTTTCAAGTCTGATATTTTTTCCCATTATAAAATTAGAAAAGGACTTCAGTACACAATTCCTTTAGAAGGAAAGTGAAGAGTGGGTATGGCCTACAACATCCATTTTGGAAAATGGAAGAAAGGATCATTAAACATAAATGCTATGGGCACCGTAACTTTTTTCTGAGTTGAAGTCTCACTCTGTCACCCAGGCTGGCATGCTCACTGCCACCGCATCTTCGACCTGCTGGGCTCAGGCGATCCTTCCACCTCAGTCTTCCAAGTAGCTGGAACTAGAAGCGAATGCTACCACGCCCAGCTAATTTTTTGATTTATTGTAGAGACGAGGGCTCATCAAGTTGCCAGGCTGGTCTCAAACTCATGGGCTCAGGTAATCCTCCTGCTTCAGTCTCCCTAAGTGCTGGGATTACAGACTTGAGTCACAGAGCCCGGTCTGCACCAGAACATTTAATGTCATGAGCAGATGGGACCCTCAGCAGACATGGTAAAGTAGATCCTATTTAGTGATCTCAGGTGACAACAGCAAGATGGATGTGAGGACCAGGACTCCCAGCATTTCTCTAGCCATTCTGCTTTCAAAGCTAAGCCAGGACTTTCGCAGGAGCTGGATAGAAGTCATTTTGAGGCTGACTTTCTAGTGAAAGCATGGAATGCAAATATATTGACTGGGAAAAGAGACATTTGTTTTAGGCAACATAAGTGAAGAATTTCCATATACTGACTGCGTATATTAGACTTTTACCAGTGATCCCTTTGATTGTCTTAAGATGGCAGATAAGACAGATGATACCCTATTAAAGATTGGGTGTGTGAAAGGCACTTTTCCTGTGATCATGGTTTTGAAAATCCAGGCACGTTAGAGCAACATGGAATGCAAACCAGAGAAACTGAGAAATGACTCTTCCCTCTTAATTGCCATGGATTGAACTGCAACTCCAAAATGTTGAATTTCTATTAGGAAGGGCAAAGTTTGGTTCTATGAGATTAAAATGTCATGTTGAAGCACACATCATAGCAAACAAATTGCTAATGATAGCAATGATGGTGGCTGTGATAGTGATTGTCATTATAGTAAAACCTCTATGGCATTTTTAATCAAAATGCTTTTTACATATTGCTTCATTTGAGTCTTATTTCACTACTGGTAGCAAAGTTGAATGGATTTACACTCACATTGCTTTTAGATGAAACATCAAAAACATTAATTTATTTTATTTGTTCAGCAACAGAATTGTTACGAGAAAAATGAACCAAGATGACCAGAATCCTGGTTTCTTGAGAGTCTTAGCCATTATATTGCCACTAAAATTTGAAGAATTCAGGAAAACAAAGTTAGGTTAAAGTTTTTGATACACGTTGAATCACTGTGGGTTACTATAGGAAACTCTTTGGTAGTGGAACAAAACTTGTTGTCACAGGTAGGTATCAGAAGAATACAATATTTCCAACATAATAGAGGTAAGGCAAGAAATGATTAAATTGGAATAATGTAAGAATTTTAGAAAAAAGAGGACCATGATGGAGATTTGATATAGAAATCTAAGGAGAGACTTTAAAACAAATGTTTATATTAAGGAGAACCTAGACAAAATTGTACAAATATTACAATAGGATTGGTTTTATATACATGTGAACTTCTATAAAGTACTCATGTCTAATGTATGCAATGATATCATTAAGATGCTTGGCCTTGGGACAAAGTTCATTATTACAGGTAAGTTTGTGATAGACTCCAAGTGGACACATTTCCTTCTCTGATAGTCAAGGGTGTTATGAAAGAGGCTGGATACTGGGGTCAGGCAGACCTAGAGTTTCAGCTTCACCAGTTACTGCTTAGTGAACTTAGAAGATTATCCTCTGGCCTCAGTTTTCTAGTCCATAAAATGGGATAACAGTATGAACCTAGCAGGGTTATTGAGAATTGAATGAGTTAGTGTGACTAAAGTACTTGGCACATTGCCCAGTACATAATAGGTGCCCAACAAATATTCTCTGGTTTCAAACGTAAAGAGAATTGTATCCAGTAGGGAGAGTTGTTTTCAGCCAGTAACATTTACAGAGCAGAAATTCTTCAGAGGATTCAGCTGCCCTTCTAATTGCTCAAATGGTAGGTTTCCTTAGCATCCACTCTCACACACACAGATTGAATTTAGAGGTGTATTTGTGACTTTTTTGCAGAATTTTTCATCACTTGGGAAGAAAAATTACATTAAGATGTTTAGTTTTTTATTTTTGTTGTTGGTCTGTGTGCTTTAAATCTTACTCCTTTAACCTTAATTGATATCATCTCTAATACCAACTTTCATTGACCCTAAAATTTAGAGCTAGTAAGTTTAGGCTCTGATCATATTTAAGTGGTCAAGATGTAAAGTTAATTAAATATAGTTAGAAATGTCATAAAGTTGAAATCCACACTTAAATGTGAAACAGCTATAGCTATTTATTTAATGAAAGAAACAAGTAGAAATAGAGAACATTTAAGCAACCTATGTAGATTTAGAATATCTTTCAATTGAAAATGTAGCCAGGCTCGGTGGCTCAGCCTGTAACCCTGCGCCTTTGGGAGGTGAGTGGATTGCCTGAACCTGCGGGTTCAAGACCCGCCTGGGCAGCGAGACCTCATCTCTACAATAAATCAAAAAATCAGCTGGGCATGGTAGTGCATGTCTGTAATTCTGGCTACTTGGAAGGCGGAGGCAGAAGGATTGCCGGGAGCGGCCACTGTACTCCAGTCTGGGCGACAGAGTGAGACTCCAACTCAAAAAAAAAAGAAAATGTAGTTGGTATTTGGCAAATTATACAGAATTCATACTGCTGAATTTTAATAAAGTACAAACAACTTAGGGAATTTGACTCAAAAGTGCTATTTTATTATGTAAATGAATGTACATGAATGAATTGGACAGGTTTTTAAAATAAATAAAATACATGAATCCTATTTATTATCCCAATAAATAGAATGTTTGCCATTCTATGCATTATGAAAAAAACATTTTGACTGTGGAAAACACCTTAAACAAGTACATCTTAAAAGTAGTGTTTTAGAAAATCATGCAATATAATGATCCAGAAGATAGGCGCTTACCATATATAATGAAGTATGCTATTAAATGCTTAGTTAACTATTGTACTGAGAAAGTTATGGAAGTTCAAGAGTTATTTTATCCTGAAAAAGATGAAACAAAGAATCTAGCTAAGGAAAAGGGGCAAGAAGCAATGAATGCTGTGGTACAGAAAATTTCCAGGTTTATCATTTGATTTTTAATTTTTGTAGTACCATTAATGAGAAATATTCCCATGAAGAAACACAAGTTCTTAAGATGAAAATCAGATTCATTAATATGTTGATTAGAGACTACAATTAAGTAAATATAATGTAGAGTTAAAAATTAATTTTTTCCTTGGTAATACACTTTTTCAATTAAAATAAATGATATGGTTGTAGAAATATACACTACTACTATAATAAATAAAATACTGTTTGTGCTTAGAATGGAAAGATTTAATGGAAAACAATAAAAATAAAATTAAAAATTATTTGCCTTAAAGGAAAAATGCATGAAATTAAAATAAGTACAATATGCCCTAATTATATTTGTAGTATGCTCAAAAATTTAATATTACTGTATGTTTACTAATTTTATATAAAATCAGAAGCTTTGCTATACAGGCAGAAACCATCAATAATCTTTTTCTTCTCAAATAAGAATTCCTACTTTTCTTTTCCTAAGAGATTGCTTGCTGAATTTTTCAACCAATTTCAAACTAGCCCAAAGCATTGAATTTTAATTGGAGTTAATATTGAAAAGAGTTCTAACATTTGTAATTTCAGTTATTAGATTAAAAATAAATATATAATCAATTAATATTCCAGATTCAAGTGATATGCCTTTGTAAACATATGATATTTTGTTATATATTTTGACATTAAGTTTGTAGGAAACTTTGGACCCATAACTTTAGCATTACACCAATTACATATTAACACTATATTCAGCAGATTAAGATGACGGGAATAATGGAGCTCCAAGACAGTTAAAAAGCATTTGGCTAAACACAAACTGTGGGAGAAACACTGAGGACAAAATTTGGATGTGCAGATATATAGAGATCTTCTCAATAGTAGGGTAATTTATGTTAAAGCAAGCATAAAATATATACCCCTGGTGTATTCTTAACCATAATTAAATTTCAAATGAAATTCCAAAATGTTGTTGATGAACATTTTCTAAAACAAAATAAAACTGTGATAAGTATATTAGCTGATAAGATTAACCCAAGAGCATTTCTGAAAATATCAACAAAAATTTTTAATAGATGTTCTGGAAATGTTGATATTTTGCTTCTAAATTCAAGACATTGTAAATAATTTGGTGGTACAGTTCTAAATACTACCCTAGCCAAAAACTTGGAGTGGTATACATGTGAAAGGGAGTTGTTATAGAAAGTTAGAAGTTAACTAGAAGTGGGCATGGGATACATGCTTAGTTTGATCAACTCTTAGCTTCATCAACTAAGCTGATTGAAGATCAACTCGATAGATGGTAAGTACACATAGATTCCTAATTTTAAAAAGGTGACAGTACACTGTTAGAAATAAAAATAAAGCTCATGCCTATAATCCTAGCACTTTGAGAGGCGAAGATGAGAGAATGACCTAAGCCTAGGGGCTCAAGACCAACTTGGCCAACCTGACAAACCTCATCTCTATAATAAATCAAAACATTAGCTGAGTGTGGTGGTGCACACCTGTAGTTCCAGCTGCTTGGAAGACTGAGGTGGAAGGATTGCCCGAGCCCAGCAGCTGGAGGCTGCGGTGACCTGCTGTGAGTGTGCTTCTGCACTCCAGCCTGAGCAACAGTGAGACTCTGACTCAAATAAATCAATAAATAAACAAACAAATGAATTAACTAACTAGCGAACTAACTCCCTCCTGATATTTATTCATATGGGAAACAAGAAAGATAAACACTATGCATTCCAGAATCAGTTAAATGAGAGTGAGATTACACATGAGAACATGTGTTATTTGGCCAAAGAGAACATCAGTTACAAAGGATGGGAAAGGGAAGCACTTCAGAAGGGACCAAAGATTCTCATCTGTAGAGAGGTTATTCAAGTTACCTAGTCTCTTCCCTCACCCTGCTCCTCACCATCCACCTCGAAAACATGTTCCACTATAATGAAACAAAACATATTTTAAAAGACAAATTCATTTTTGATTGTTGGAGGACTTGGTATAAGGCAGTTAAAAATCACACTCCATCACAGCACATGCAGAGCAAAAAAAAGGTCAGGTGACACTTAAGAGCTGTGACTTTTGGGAAGTTTCTTAATTTCTTCATCCTCTTTTCACATCTGTAAAATAAGCCCAATAATAAGTAGCTGGAGCCTGTCATGGATGAAAGGCCACGGCGGACACTAACTCGCTGCCCAACTATTCTTCCTGTTGTTAGGCCCTAGGTTGTTCCTAACCATGCAATGTGTGTGTTTCTATAAAAATGCCTTTTAACTGATATTCCATTTCCCTCCACAGATAAAGCCCTTGGTGCTGACAATTTCCCCAGGCCCACTACTTTTCTTCCTTCAGTTGCTGAAACAAACCTCCATAAGGCTGGAACATATATTTGTCTTCTTCAGAATTTTTTCCCCGATGTTATTAAAGTAGATTGGCAAGAAAAGAATGACAACAAGGTTTTGGAATCCCAGCAGGGAAATACTATGAAGACTAATGACACATACATGAAATTTAGTTGGTTAACTGTAACTGGAAAGTCAATGGAGAAAGAACACAAATGTATCGTCAAACACGAGCATAATAAAGGAGGAGTTGATCAAGAGATTATTTTTCCTCCAATAAAGAAAGGTAGGTGAATACAAATACAATCATAACCTCCAAGAATTCTTATTTGAAAGGAAATATCTCACTTTTTCTGTCAATATTAATTAAAAGTGCAGATCTTTCTTGAGTTGCTACATTTAATAGTAGCATCAATGCCCTGCTATGTCCCACTAGAATTAAAATGGTATATGCATAGGCTTCGGAGAAAAAAAAATTAACCGATATTCTATTTTCTCCCACAGATAAAACCCCTGATGCAGACTTTTCCCCCAAGCCCATTGTTTTTCTAACTAATTTACTTAAGCTTTCTCAGCCTCAGTTCTATCATTCAAATATTAATGTCACATGATTACTTTTAAGATTGTTATGTGGGTTAAAGGAAACAACAAGAAAGCAACTAGTAACCTAGCACATGATAAATGCTTAGAGGTCCCATTTTTGATGACTTTATTGGGAAATAAGAACAATTAAAGGTCTTTTTAGGCGTGTTCTACCAACCAGGAAAAGTCACTCATTTTTCAATCTTGCTACATATGATGAGTTCATAGTTGACAAAATGGCATGGTTTGCTGGGCATGGTAGCTCACATCTGTAATTTCAGCACTTTGGGAGGCAAATGTGAGAGGATTGCCTGAGTCCAGGGATTTGAGACCAGCCTGGGCAACTTGGTGAGATCTCTTCTCTACAGTAAATAAAAAAATTAGCTGGACATGTTGGTGCATGCTTGTGATTCCAGCTACTTGCCAGATTGAGACAGAAGGATCGCCTATGCCTAGTAGATAGAGGCTGCGGTAACTGTGATCATGCCACCACACACTAGTCTGGGCAACAGCGTAATACTCCAACTCGAAAAATAAAAAATGGCATGGCTCAACAAAAAATAGAATAGCCTTGGCTGCTCCAGTTTTATGGTGGCCTTGGGTTTTACAGATTTTTATTCTATATACCACCATAAGGTTTAATTTCATAATTAAAGATTGGTGAGGCTAATGTGTACAAACATACTTCTAATCTGCATAATGAATGCATTTCTTGCTATTAGTAAATACAGCTCAACAAATATTCATTGTGCCAGTAGCATATGCCAGGCTTAGTGGAAATGTAGTGAATAGAAGAAGACAAGTCGCTATCTCAAGGAGGATGCCACTACAATGAAGAGAATATACTCTTTTCCTAATGACTCAGGGTCACTCATGATTCAAGCATTGTGTCTCAAAGGAGTCTCTTTGACGCAGGTACTGTACATCCCTAGACAGTTGGGCAGAAGGCAGAAAGTGCCCTGACCCATGGGTCCAGGCCCTCACTGTGTGTCTTGGGTATGAACATAACAATCCAAAGGCCACAGAGTGGCCATGGGAAGGACTCATTTTGTACTTTTTCCCATGGTTAACAAGCCCTTTTAATCAATGAGGAACAAGCACATCTCAAAATTTGGGAAGACCTTTGCTCTGTACCAGTACGGATTTCTCACATTAGTCTTTAACCTCTCGGACACTTAGTTCTTGCAGTGGTCAAATAGAATTTGAATAGTTGCCTTGACTTTCTCCTGGTGCTATGATGGAGGACAAAGGAAACAATGCCAGGGAAAATGCTTGCTTTTGAAAATACAGCACGGATGTGTTCATTCATGTACTTACTCTATTTATTTACAGTCCTTCCTAAAACTAACTAAAGTGCAACTACAAAAACAGCCCCAATTTTCTATTTCCATCACTAAGAAACAAAGGGGAGGCAAGTGTGCAATGTATAAGGTTAATATTGCTGCAGTGCTTAAGTGTCCAATTAGGTTCTGATTCTTCTGGTGATCTGAGAAAAATAAAAAGTACAGTAAGTTCCAGGATAATGACTATCACACAGAAGAGGAGCTGCAGTTTTATGATGTGTTTTACTTTACACTAAACTCTAAGACTAATGTCTTTCATGGGCATCATATAGCAACAACGTAAGGAGAATACTATTAATGTAATTCTATACCAGATTTCTAATGGTGTTTCTTAGAAATTTTTTTGATAAAAGCTAAAAATGTAATATGGAAGCATAAATCAATGAAGTGATGTTGAATGGGAGATAAAACTAATGCAGTTTAAGTTTGTGACCCTCCATCTGGTCTAAGTTTGAGCGAGAACTGAGGATATGAATATAGATTTTATTATGAAGAATTGTTACTCTATTCTCTTTACTTCATTTAATGCATGCTGATAAGTGATTTTCACTTATCTTTTAATGAATAAAATTGCCTAAAGAAAAGAAAGGCTTTTAAGACCCATTAAAGTAAGTTCTTGAAGACATTTGAACATTTGAATGTGACTATACTAACATTTTAATTCTTGGGACTTGCCCAAAACCTATATCTCAAATTCATATTTTGAAGCACATACACAAAAAGAACTTATAGAGTGAATAAAACTGCACACTAGATTCATACCCAAGAACACATACAGTAGAAAAAGGATTAAGCCAACAACAATTTCTACTGTTTCTTTTCATCTGTTTAATAAAATTATATACAGACTTGCCTTTTTTTAGCATCATAGATAAAGTCAACTCTTCCCTCAGGTTTTATTTAGAGAACTATAAATGTGACTTGGTCTACCTTTCCCCAGAACGACTAACACTGAAATGCTGGGATCCTATAACTTAAAAAAAAAAAAAAGGCCATTTGTTGATAATAATTAAGATAATAATTAAGATAAGATTTTCTTAGCGTATATAGTGGTAGAATTATGTTGTCTCTCCATATGTTATTTTCTACCTACTTGTATGGATGGCTTTTACGAAGTACTTTCCACGTGTCCTCTTTTAATCTCCCACAGCTACCCTTCGAATGCAGCTCTGCCAATCACTGGCATGACTCACAGCAAGTTGCCTACACTCTTTTAAGCTTCATTTCCTCATTCTTCACTTGGGGCCATCCATAAAGTAAAGCGTTCTTGGGAAATGAAACAAGATCATGCCTGGGAAACATGTAACATAGTGCCTGGCACAGTGACGATCGTTTAAACGGGTATTAACTCTTAGTAATATTGCTGCCATTTTGCCCAGAAACACAACTGCTCCAGAAAGTCGCATGTACAAATTAGGGAGACTGGATGATTTGGAAAGGGAGGACTGCTTTCCTCTGCTTAGATGAGAAATTTCTCTAAGCCAGATTCCTTTGAACATGTAAGATTCCGTTGTGGATCCAAGGATTGACTAAGTTCTTTTCGCTAGTAATACTTTACGTCAGCAGTGTGGGCTGAAGACTGTAAAGCTGTCACTTGTTCTATTAAACAAGTATCTTTCAAAAATGTACCTTGCAGCAGGCACCGTGCTGGGAGTTACAAATACAGAAGGAAAACCAGATGGTCTTGCATGTTCCACTCTAGTTGTGATAAAAAAGGAAAAAATGCGGCCTTTATGAACTTCATCTTCACGTGCAGAAACATAACACATGAATTAGATCTACTGAATTACACAGAATCAGACCAATTATTTCTGAAGTTCTGGGGCTCATATTTTTAATAATTGTCCTCCTGTTTTTCTGATGACAGATTTTACATATATTTATTTGTATACATACATAGGTATACACATGTATACACACACATACACACAAACCTATACAACCACCCTATCAAATAATGGGCATGAACAATTGACTAATAATTGCTTTCATTTCTTCTAGTTGTCACCACTATTGATCCTAAAGGATCTTGTTTGAAAGATGCAAACTGTAAGTTTTTGTGTTTTCTTGGCCTCCCAATTACCTTAACTTTTGATCATCCCTGGCTTGAAAAATCAGGGAATGAATTTTTCCAGGGTTGGATGTTGCATAATAGACTGAGTGACACCTTAAATTAGTATATCACTTTCTAGGAGTTTATTATACACTGAAAATTGTTGGCTTTGGTGGCAGATCACTATTAAATTAGATGGTACAGTGATATGTTCTGAATTATTTCAACAAATTTTGTCTTTTATTTCTAATGGCTAAGAAAATCATAATATCAAATTGCTTCTAAAGGTTTTATTTTTAATTTTTGGTCCTTGCTAGTAGCTAATAACATGGAGTAGTACTTACCAAGTGCTTTTTATACAGAAGGCCCTGGGTTGTACTCTGCGTGCATTTTCTTGTTTAATCCTTTTGATACTCCTGTGGTGGTCAATATTTTTTTCTCTCATTTTACAGTCCCTCTTAAGTAAGGGGTCTGAAATTATTTAAATCCCTTATACATGTCACATGGCTAGATCTGGGGTTTCCAATCAGGTCATCAAAGGAAGAGTTCATATACCTACTAAGTTTTCTATTATTTCTCTATGATAGTCTTAAGGCAAGAAATTTCAAAGCCAAGGCCCTGAGTTATAGCAGACATATTGTGGGGATGGGTGAGTACAAGGGCTTCAGAGTGCTACTGACTGGATTTAATCCCAGTTTTGTTAATGATTAGTTGCATGGATTTGGGTAAGCAACTTACATTTTATGAGTAACATTTTTCTCATCTGCCAACCAATAATTATTACACCAAACTCACAGTTATTGAAGAAATAAGGGCACACATGTGAAATGTCTAGTGTAGGGTATCTCATTTAGCAGGCACAGAATAAGTACTGATTTCTGGTCCTTTCTCTCTCTATATGCCCCAAAAATGTGGCTAGAAGCATTGGCTCTATTGCCCTGCTGTCCTTTCCTCTATTTCCAATATCATGCGACCTCTGGACTTCAACTGCCACACCAGGCAGGAAGGGGAAGTAACACCTCACTTGACCAAGGGTAGGGAGTTATGAACACATCACTTCTTAAGATTCCTTCCCACACTAAAGACTAATGATTCTGGAGTTATGACTTTTTGAAGATAACACATGTAAAATGAAACTTTCCATGGGAAGAACCTAGGCTTTGTGGCTCTGAGTAGCTGCCTGGTTCACCACCATTGTCTTTACTTTTTCTTTGACATCTCATATTTCTTACAAAACTTCAAAGGATATTAAGATAAATTACCCAACAATATCATAGCTACAATGAGAGACATTTAGGAAAAACAGGCGAGTATGCCACAACCACTTAACATCTCAGCAAATTTGGATTAATGACTTTCTTCCATTTCCTATAATGCCCTCTTCACTAAAATCTTTCACCCATGTTGCTGTAAACACCACCGAATTTCCACGGATTGTACCCTGCCTAGAGATCTCTCTGCATGCACAATGTGTCATGGCTCAGACGCTTCTAAATAAGCAATTTAACTTTATATTTATGCTTAATTTTGATATCTGAGGTGTTGTTTGCTGCACTTGAAATTACATAGTAGATAAAAATGTGCTTTGTTTTATAAAGTCAGCTTGCTTGGGTTGAAATCTGGGTTCTGGCATTTATTAAATGCATGACATTAGGCAAATTACTTAGTGTCCTCAGTTTATTTGCAAATGAAAGTAATATGCCTCTTTCTCATAGGTTGTTAAAAAGATTAAATAAGATTGAAGCTTTACATACAAAGTTCTTAGAATATTGCTTGACATTTAGTTACTGGCTAATGAATATTACCTATTATTATTACTTAGAGACATAGAGGGGGGAAGACATTCTAAAACTTAGTCATCAAAATACCTTTTTTTCATCATAGTACTCATTTATTTAAAAATATGACCTTGCATTTTAATACTTTGGAATGTTCTATGTGAATTTAGCAGAAGTTGATAATCAACTTGCATGCTGAATTCTGGGTCATCTTGCTCTTGATGTTTGTGGTAGCGGTAGATGTTTACTTTTAGGTTTTGGTGGTGGTGGGATATCACTTCAATGCAGATCATCAGAAATAAGTATTTGTGAACCTTTCCCCATGAATATGTCCTGTGCTGTCAAAAGTATGGGTGATACTAATTTAATGACTTCTCTTAGATGCACTGTGGCTACAGCTCACAGAAACCTCTGCATACTACACCTATCTCCTCCTGCTCCTCAAGAGTGCCGTCTACTTGGCCATCATTGCCTTCTGTCTGCTTAGAAGAACAGCTGTCTGCAGCAGTGGAGAGAGATCATAACCGATAGTGGTTCAAAGAGCTCATCCTTTCTTCATTGCTTATTGTCCCTAAATATCTGCTGAGGATCTTGCTGGGTTTTCTTTCTTGATTTGGCCTGTTCCAGTTTCCATGTCTATTAGTCCATTATGTAATTATTGTATAGTGGTTTTTCAAACCAGTGGGCAAACTGAGAAAACTTCACCCTGAAACAATAAGAATAAGGAATAGCCCATGGAAGCCTTTAGTACCATCCTCTTCAGTCTTCAACAGCTCCACCAGCCAACCCAGACTATCACATCATTCAATACAGTGTAGACAGCCTGCAGCTTATAGCCTTGACCTTTAGTGTCCTGAACCAGGTAACTGCCTGAAAGTCTTCCATTTTACACACCCCGAAGTGGCCTTCTTTGCTATTTGAATTCTGTGTTGTGTTTTTCATGATAGGTGCAACCAATAAAAATCAAAAGCCTATGTTTGTCTACGTGTACTTTAATTTGATGAGATAGAATTGAAAATCCACGGTAAGAATCAGCATAACAAATGAGTTGTGGGATTCTGTGTTGGTTTTAATAATGGTCTGATACCCCATTTCTAGTTCTTTCTCTGAGTGAGTGGTTATGATGCTTTCTCTGGCTCTAAGAGGAGACACAGCAAAATGAAATAGCCATTCTGCTTCTCTTTTAAAGGCCACCAGTTTCAAATTCAATTGGTTTGGGACATTCCAATGGCAATGAGACACTATCTAAAAGGACCTGCCCTGTGTGTGCTCAGCTCTATACTACGGTTTCGCAGGCACTGTGATTCCTGGTCCTCAAAATATCCCTAGGAAAGTTGCACGAGCACCAGAGAGGCAGTGTGATGGGAGTCAAGCACCTGCACTCTAGACCCAGAGTGCATGGGTCTGGTATTTAGTATCAGAAGCTAGAATGCCGTGTCTCCCAGACTTGCGTGGATTAGATGAGTTAACACTTGGTGTGTGTAAGTTCTCAATAGCGTCATCATGTACTGTTGATACCTCTACAAACAGTAGATGCCACACACACATGAAAGCCCTAATAGTGATCTCTATTCTTACCTCTCTGCAGAGGTTAGGTGGGGAGGAACAGAGACTCAGTGAGTTTCTACTATACACCAAGCAATCATGAATCTTCTTAGAGCCCTTTGAGCCAGGTACAGTTATGACCCACAGCTTATAGATTTGAAAGATTAAGTTACCCATTCAAGGACACTATTTTTAAAGTAATAGTATAATTTAAAGCTAGGTATCTCTGTACACACACACACACACACACACACACACACACACACACACACACATTTCAATCCCAAATCACATCTTTCCTTTTACTCACTTCCAATTGGGAAAAACAAAACCATGCAATGCTCCTTTATTTAAAGTTTACTCAAAGAGTTCATGTGAGTTTTCTTAAGGATATGTGAGTGCATCTATGTTTTTTTCTTTTATGAAAACCAGGCCACAGATAAAACTGTGACCTACTCTGGAATCACCATAATTGTTCCCCTAGTTATAAATAGGATGAAAATCCTGCCTTACTTAGTGTGTATCCTAGATTTGCAACTGCTCTTTTTTGGGCGGTGCTAATGAAATGAAGTTCAGGCATAGTTGGACTATTCATGGTGATCTATGGGTATCTATGGCATTCTGACATCCCAGTTCCTTCCATACACTGAATGAGCCTGGAGGTCCTCAGAGTCACCTTGTGGGAGACTGGAATATTCAGGTGCATTTCTGAGGCAGGAGGTAGGCTATGCATCCCTCTTGGTCCAGTGTTTTTCCATCCCAGCACAACTGCCATCCATAGAAAGGCCACATGGTGTGGTAGATTACTGGACCAAAAGTCACACTTCAAAGTGTTAGAGCCCTGGCTACTTGGTCTGGTTCTAATTAGCTATGTGATTTGTTATTAATCATCCCATATTGCCTGTTTTCCCATCTTTAGAAGAACATGTTCCAATGAAATAATTTCAGATTTTGACCTGAAGTTACAAATTTAGTGATTAGCAACCTAATGAAGTAATAATAGCAGTCACTTGTATAGTGCTCACTATGTATCCAATACTAGTCTAAATGTTAATCATTTAACTCTAAGACTCCTAGGGGATATGTACAATTAGCTCTGTTCTACAAGTAGTGAAACTGAGGTAAAGAGGGTTAAGAAAAAATTCCCCATAGCCACAAAACTAATAAGAAACAAGATGGGATTAAAACCAAAGAAGGAGCTCTGCTCTCAACTTCTATATTATTCACTTCCAGAGTGGAAACAGGATACTTTTACTTTCAATGAAAACAGGAAAATTTTCTTCCTTATTGGGCTGAGGGTTCATGAACAGAACTGCCTCTTTACCTTTCTGTATTTCCCTCCCTTGCTCCTGGGCTGTTCATATAATTATAGAGGGTTTTAGGCCAGCCTGACAGGTTTTCATGCTGGGAAGACTTTTATACAACAGACCTCCCATTCATCATTAGGACTGTTGTGATTAAAGTCCACAGCACATGGACGGATGAAATAAATACCAGAACAGGCTATGACAAAAAAAATTAGGCATATACAGTTCCACATAAAAACTCATGTCTCAATAGGCATTACAGAACTAGTGAACTCCATACATTCATCAACTAAAAAATAAACTCTATATGCTTGTCAACTATAAAAAAGGAAAATCTCAATGCAATTGTTCTCAAAATATTTCCAAACATGCAATCTCTCCACTATTCTCAATTTTTTTCCCTCATAGACTTTGTTATTTTGGTAAGGTTTTTGGTCTATCAAGAAGGCCACAATTAATAATACTTAATTTTCCCCATTATGTTAATCAAAGTCCTATATAACCGCCAATTAGAAATTCTGAGTAATGAGATACTACACCAATATGATACAATTCAGTCAAACAGCTAGAGACTCAAAATCTTCACTAGCCATGAAAAACTTATCTGAGTAAATGCATAGTTTTCATTATGTGTTGTTAGGTCTTTTTTCATTTGTTTGCTTTTTCTGCTTTGTTGGAATAAAAAGTAGTACCTACCACTTGTTGAGCACTGGGAATTTTGCCAGGCAGTCTGCATTCTCTCTAAGGCTTTCAACGGCAGGCATTTCATTTACAGGCATTTCACTACTTTCACTGATAAGAAAACCAAGGTTTTCTTTTTTTAAAGTATGCCCAACGTTAACCACCAAGTAAATCCCTGAGTCCACTTGATTTCAGGACTGTCTGACTTCAGAACTGTTGCCCTATCCATTCTACCAGGGGTTCTCCTTTTGGGAGACTTTACCACAGGCTAGCCAGCGAGACTTTGGAAAATTGCCTTCGATAATTCTAATGCACAGTCAAGGTTAAGGCCAGCAAGTGACTGAAATAGCTCTTGAACTCCGGCTCTGGGGCATCAGATGGCAAGCCATAGGAGCCATCGTAGAGCACATTACACAAGCATGCAACATGCTTAGAAAATGTTCTTAAATGTACTTGATCCATCAGTTTCCCAAGGACACAAAAGTTATGCACTAAGATTTATGTGCAATGATGTTCATTCAAACAGTCCCAAATTACCCCAAATGCCTAATCAGGAATTAACGAAATTAAGGTTGTATAAAAGCCTCATGCACATCTTCAAAAAAGTGTAGATTCTTTAAATAATTGGAAAATAACTAGAATTGGTGTTGAAAAATAACATCCATAGCATGATTCTATTAAAACTATTAAGCACACATGTAAAGGTACACGGTTCAAAAACATATTTATTTGTGTAAATATGGAAGTGCTTTTAAATGTACGTCTATATTCTCATTTCCCCTTCTTGCATAAGTAGTCTACAATATACATTATTCTGCACATTTCTTTTCATTTAGGAATCCTTAAGCTCTTTTTATGTCTACATATAGGAAGATTTAGAGATTTGGACAGTTACAAGGTATTTCATTGGTGAACAAATTTTCATCAGTTGCTTGCTTTATTTCCAGTCTTTTGCTACTCGGAAAGATGTTGAAATAAACAATAGCATTTGTGTCCTTTGAACATGTGCACTGGTGATTTTGATAGTCATTGCCCACATGCCATCATTGGGATAGCCCCACCATGCTTTCTCCCACAGAGTATGCGAGTGCCGGGAATGTGCTGTCAAATGTCAGGATTTTGCTAATCTGATAGGCAAAAAACCACCTCATTGTGGTTTTAATTTGCTTTCTCTTACTATCAGTGAAGCTAAATATCCTTGTCTGTGTAAGGTCCACTTAATTTTCTTCTGTGTAATATTAGTTCATGTACTTTGACCATTTTTTCTATTTAGTAATAATACTAACAAGCATGAAACTCATTTTGTCTATTTCTGCAAAGGTATAAAATGTTCAATGTATGGCAGGTGGGTGAAAAAATGACAAGTGGTTGTGTATTTTTCTATTTTCTCTAATAAATCCTTTTAAAGTAAAAACTTGCCGGGCATAGGGGTTCATGCCTGTAAACCCATTGTGGGAAGCCAAGAAAGAATGTTTGGTTGAGCCTAGGAGTTCAAGACTAGCCTGGGAAATATAGCAAGACCCTATCTCTACAAAAAATAAAAATAAAAAAAAGTAGCTGGGCATGATGGTGTATGCCTGTAGTCCTAGCTACTTGGCAAATTGAGGTGGGAGAATCGTTTGAGCTGTTTGAGGCTGTGGTGAACTATGATTGTGCCACAGCACTCGAGTCTAGGTGACAGACTGAGACCCTGACTCAAAAAATGAAAGTAAAAACTTTTATATGTTAGAATTAAAAGTGTCTTATTTAACATCTGAAGGGTTGTTGTTGTTGTTTATTTACAATCAGCTTCAGTTTCTATGAAATAGATTATTTGGAAACCAAACAGAGGTTCAATTTGAAGCAAAATATGAGCAACCAGACTTGAGAACGATTAAATTAATTTAGATCTACTCCATGATTCTCGTGAATAATCAGACCTCTTTAAGGCACTTACCTGGCCCCTTTTTAGAGATCCAGAACTATTTCTGGATTAGGAAAGCACATCTGCAAAGACAGGAAGCTTTCAAATCACTAAGAGCTTTGTGGGGTGATATCACTAGCCAGTGAACTAGGCAATGTCTCCTGTGGTTTCAAACGTCTTAGTAACTTCCTTCCCCGATTCAACCTGGGCAGCCCCAAAGTTCAGCAGTACAGAGGGAGTACAGAGGCGGTGGTGGAAGAGACAGAGTGGGCGGCGGGAGGGCCCTGGTGTGGCTGAGGGTGTTTTATTTTCTCAGGCTTCTTTTGCTTACATGTTCTGTCAAATGTGGTTGATTCGTGGAAAATGCTCAAAGTCAAACCAGCCCTTATTGGTTGGGGCTGTGCAAAGGGTGGCTAGGATGTTATAAGAGAAAATAAAGACTGTTAAACCACAACCAACTTTGCTCACTTTTGAAACACCACAGCTAATGGAAAGAAATAACCACCTTCACACATATGAGATTGCTATCAAACATTCTCTCTCCATGCTGTGGGTAGTGTGGGCTCCCTGCATTTAATATTTAAAATTAATCAGCTAGTACGTGAGCTGGGAATCTGATGCCCAGGACTGTCTAGACACTGCACCTTCTGTCTACTCCCAGGGCACTGTTCTGAAGAGCAGAGGAGGACATCCCACAGCATTGAGACAATCCCTAACATTCCACCAACTATCTGGTTTTCCGAAGTATTGGATTTACAGATGCTAGTACCCTTGGTTTCATTTCCTCAGTGTAAACAGGGTGACACAAGACCAGTGCCCATGAACCTATTAGCATAGGCAGATTGCAGACGCGGGCAACAGCGATGTGCTTCTTTCCCCACAGGAACCCAGGGGTATAGAAGCCGAGTTCCACTGTGTAACTGAATGTCATATGATGAAATCATAAATGTCCCTCTACAAAAACAAAATGACTTTAGTCAACCTGAGCAAGGCTTAATAGGGAACATTAACATCAGACAAATGAGTGATTGGGGTCAATTAGAAGAAAGTTGTTCAATCATGAGAGCATAAAAAGGAAGTAACCCACCCCTATACCCCCAAGCATGGTATAAAGTAGGCGTCTACCCCTCGGCCAAATCTATCCAGTCCCAGGGAAAAGTATGATGCTACTATTGAGATGATCACTATAGACACGCACAATCTGACTTCATGGTGTAGTCAAATGCTATAGCTCACTCCCCTTGGCAAGTCTTGGCTTCCTATGAGGATTAAAACACCCTACGGGTTCACTTCAGCATGCTCAGGTGACAGCTCTTCCTCAGGTTAAATTACAACCTGACAGTCAGTTTAGGTACCATCTCTGGGCTTAGTGTATATGCAACTCCAATCCTGAGACAGAAGAGTCAAACTTGGATAACATAAATGAATTTCTGAAGTGTAAGTCCCAAGGCCAGATGCTGGAGATTTTCCTCACCCCTTCACTACCAGGAGACTCTCTTCCTAGTGAGACTTCAAACTTGAAGATTGCGTTACTGAGATCTGAACCACTTAGAACAAGCACAGACTTGATCTGCACAAAAGGTCAGTTTCTACCCAAATCAGCATCATTATCACTACAGGCAAGTAAGTTTTTCTTGGACGACACAACAAATGATGAAAGAAAACTAAAAGACATGCTGACTTTCTATGAATCATTATGGTAAATATTCACGTTGGAAAAAATAACTCACGATATAGTTTAGTTCATTTTAATTCAAATTGGCTAAACATGAAGAAAAAATGACAGCAATGGCTTCAGTCATTCTGTGGGTTCAAAATAAGAGTACTTTAGAATAGCTCAGAACAATTTATCAGAGAAAAACACAATTTCATGTTAAAAATAATACAAATGTCTAGTAACATTTTGCACATATTCACAATCCCTCCTGTTCCCCTTTCATAATTCCAATACTTCAGGCCAAATATATAATGCAAAATAAGAAAAGTAAAACTAAGCATTTTGATATGTTGAATTTTATTACTTTTTAAAATTGTATAAAGAGCACATGTGCATGAGTTAAAAAAAAAACACAAGGAAAATGGAGGCAGTTAAAAAAGAAATACAAAATAAATCTGAGACATAAACAAAAAAAATCATTCTGTGAATTGAAATAAGATATTTCACTTACTAAAAAAGTGTTATTTCAATATATTAAGAAGTGTTTTGATTAGGAATACAGCACAAGACTTTCTTCACCTAGTCATTAACACATCGGACTCAGTCTCACTGGAAAGAGGATGAATCATTACATTACCTGACCAGCCACAGGCAGGCGACTACATGTGTGTGGATATGGTACAATGTCTGTGAGGTATTACAATAAATAAACTCGTTAATAGCTGTTCCATAAAGTCAGCAGTGGATGTCACCATTTCAACTTGCAATAGAGAGACTCCATCACCAGTATCTTTTCCCTCGGATGACTTTCCAGGAGGGTTTTCACACTTTAAAAAAGAGAGAAGTCAAAAATATGTGAGAAATGATGTGGAAAGGCAAAATGCTAAGCTCCCCTTACATTTTTATAATAGAGTCTGTGAGCTGTGACAGACACATACAGGACCATGGGTGTGACCACACTCAAATTTATCTTAAAGCACTTCAGAAAAGGGTCAACTACTGGCATGCCCACAGTTTTGCTTCACGAGACAGCGCTGAGGTGTGCTAGGTGCCACTGAGGCAGGCAAGGTAGGGCCATGCGCCATGACCTTGGTTGCCACTGCCTTCCACTTAGTCTCTGTTCAGGCTTCCCCACAAGTCACAATCTGTCAACTACTTTTACCTTATGTGGTTAAATAATTAGGCAGAGTTGCTGCTACTATATTTATATTTACTTGCCTTGTATGTAGGAGGTTGAAATGATTTTCTTTGAAGATTTAAAGGGATTTAACAATGTGTTCTGCCTGGAAGCATACCAAGTGCTACTGCTTTGAATGTACAGCAGCTTTCATCTCAGAAGTTCCAAAGCCTTTGACAGACATCCTGGAATGGAGCTGGAGTAGACCCTGGAGCAGACCCCTGCATGGGTCTGAGGCCTGGCGCTGCCACTTCTAGCTGTGCATCCTTAACAAGTTACCCATCTATGTCTCTGTTGCCTCAAGTGCAAAACAGAGGTAACAACAGCACCTATATCTCAGAACTGCTGTCCTGTTAACATAATAAACAGACTGATATTTGTAATTAAAACAATATCTGACATGTACACAGTCTAAGTAAACAAACATCCATTCATCATTATTCTCTAGAAATCTGGGAATCTAAACTTAACAAATTTAAACCTATACAGAAAATGTTAAGAAAGTTTTCAGTAGTATAGTGTGATCAATACATTCATGTAGCTAAGACAAATCTGGCTATATATTTATACTTATATGTTTTGAATTTTACTTTGAAACCACTCAAAGAAAATGCTTCATCCTTAACTACTTTGTTGTTACAGCATCATTTCAAACACTTACTTTAACAAAAGTAGTACTCATAGCTCTAAAAGTGGTTTTTCACTGTCTTGTTTCTCTTCAGCTTCTTCAGATCCTACATGGTGGGGAAGGGGAAGAAGAAAAGTAATTCATTCTATTACAGTAACAAAATATTTCATTACAATATATATGTATGCAATTTTATTTAATTTTAATTTTTTTAGAGATAGGGTCCTTCTCTGTCACCCAGGCTGGAGAGCAGTGGCAAGATCATAGCTCACTATAAACTCAAACTCCTGGACTCAAGTGATCCTTCTGCCTCAGACTCCTGAGTAGCTAGGACTATGGGTACAAGCCACTGCACCTGGCATTATATGCATACATTTAAAATGAAAGATTAAACATATGTGTAATCCTCCCTCAAGAGGTTCAGGCTAACAAATGGCTATTTTTAAGTTTTGCTGTATTTCTTATAGAGGAAAACTTTAAACAATAATCTATCACTCTCAAAATGGATTTCACTTATATACTGGTAAAAATATTCATATAGACCAATAATTATTATCAATTGCTATTCCTCCTCCAACTCTTTGCTAACAAGCTTGGGTATATTTTTTACATGCAATTAACCTTAAGCTTTGGTACAAAGGATTTAATCTAGGTAATTTTGAAAAATTGCTGTATCAGGTGAGCGAAAGGGCAGTGATGGCTTCCTAATGCTGAGGGCAGTGCTTTAGCAGTGACTACCGTGTGACCTTGCTGGATCAGTGTCTCATTAACCTTATATATTTCTACACTGACCCACTCATTCTACTCCGAATTCTTCCTTAGGATGCCTCTATTCCTGAGGAAATAATGCATATTAGTCATTATGTAGATTTTCTCTCTGAAAATTAGAAAAGTAAAATGTCTGAAAATAGGAGAAAGGTTAAATTAACATCATATTTTCATAAAATATCTTGCACTCACTTAAAATTATGTTTATATATAGTTTATAACAACATGCAAAACACATATTCTGCAAGGCAAAAGCAAATATATAATGAATAAAACTTTGTATACTATAAGATCACAATTGACAACATTATAAATAATAAAAAGTTGAAAAAATATCCATGTGACTTTTACATATTTTTCTGCAAATCCCCAAATTTCCATAATAAACTTGAATTGACAGTATTATTTTTAAATTATAATTTTTAAAAGCAGGATATAAGCCATATAGGGTGAATGGGCACAATAACATGAAATTATACACACAACCAAAAGGAACAAACTAAACTGCCAATACTGATTTTAGTGAATACTTTGAAGGATAGGTGATTTCTGATTAGTATAATTTTTAATTTTTTATAAAAAAGCATTATTTTCATAATCAGGGAAGGGAGGAGAAAGGGAGTTCTGTGAGAAGACTAAGGTAGCAGGTGAGGGATAGAATCGATTCACACATAAAAGCAGCAGCCCGCATTAACTGCTGCTTTAATCTTGTTAGATGATATACTTTAAAGAGAATTTTTTCAGGAGAATGTCTGCCTGGATTATAGCAAAGGAATTTGGTCTAGAAGAAAGAATGACTAAGAATCTTAAGAAAAGATTACGTCCATATCTTAACCTCATAATTGCCATCCAGTTCAGGTTAAATTTGTAGCAAAACAGATAACAGTATATTGGTTGAAGACTTTACTTTCCAGTCTATTAAAGCTCTATAAATCACGGAGACACAGTGTGGTGAAACTGTTTGTTCTCACTCTGAAAGGAGTCTGAGTGGTCACACCAAGTCTGTTCCCAGGCTCACTTTCCACCTGCCAGGCCAACAGCATTTAAACCACAAGTTGAGGTGTCTTGGAATAATTTGGGAATTCTAATAAAGCTAAACCCTAATCAAAATTTAACAATATGTCTTCTGTACATTTTAAAAAAAATTTTAAAAATGTGGGGGTACGATTCAAATGTTCATTATGCAGGTACCCTTGTTGAAGGGATCATTAAATCCTCTCCCTAGAAAGCACCCAAGAAACTTGGCAAAATGGACAAAACTAACAATACTCACCATGTGGAAATGACCAAAGGCATACAACACACAGAGAAGTGTGTGTATTTGAAATATTTAAGGGAATAGCAGGGGTGACTTGCCTGGAGCTGTTCCAGTGGCTTCCCCAACCCCCAAAGCCCAGCTTGATGGGAATGCAGGCTCTGTCAGGGCAGGGCAGGTCATAAGGACTGGCAGTAAAGCTACCTACTTGAAGGAAGCACACTTAATTTGGAGTGCAGAGTCATGCTCATGCCCAGCAGCTGTGATGGTGAAATGACAAATTCAGTGGTAGGTGAGCAAAAAGGGCCAGCTGCTCTCCAAGCCTGAGGTTGTGGTCACTGCCGGGGCAAGCGTATGCCTGGCTGAAGCAGTTTGCACGCACAGAGGAGGAGACTTAAGGGAGCCCAATTCTGAGCTGTGAGCACAGACTCAATGGAAAAGAAAAAGCTGGGGAGATATTAAAGATGGCCTGACTCTGAATATACTTCCAAACCATGTGCAAATCCACTCGGCAAAGGATGAAATCCTTAATCCAAGGGCTTAAGCACAATCTTCTGTCAAATCACTGGCTACTACAAGGGCCTGTAGACATGTGTGACTCCCATGAAGCCAGGTGTGAAAAGAAAGGCAAGAATTAAAAGGAAAAACAAAACAAAACAAACAATCAAACAAAAACGAAAAAGACAGAAGAAGCCATACATCCCAAGGTGTAAAGACATCACAGACATAGCACAGACAATTTGCTAAACAAATAAAAGTAACAACAGTAATCTTTTTGGGAAAAATCCAAAATCCAGAGTTGCTATATTTTCAGTAAAATACTTTCCAATAAAAATTATATAAGACATGCAAAGAATGAGGAAAGTGTGACCATTCTCAGAAAAAAAAAAATAACAGTCAAAACAATCTGAGTGTCTCTAAATACTATGTTTAGCAATCAACTATTATGAATATGCTCAAAGAGCAATAGAAAACCAATTTAAATAAAGGAAAGCATGACAAAGATAAAAAGTAGAGAATCTCAAGAAGAAAACAGAAAAAATTTGGGAGAAGAAAAACTTCAGTAAAATTCACTAGAGAGGGTCAAGAAAATATTAAAGATGGCAGAAGAAAGAATCCATGAACTTGAAGGTAGATGGATACACATTATCCAATCTGAAAATAAGAGAGAAAAAAACTAAAGAAAACTGAATAGAGTCAGGGACCTGTCACAGAACATCAAGCACACGAATACATATGTAATGAGAATTCCAGAAGAAGAGAAAAGGAAAAAAGCGAGAAAAACATTTGAGGACTGAATGGTCTCAAATTAGTTGCGAAATATTAATCTACACATTGAGTAATCTGTACAAACACAGGTTAGAATATATATAAAGAGATCTACGTGCAGACACATCATTGTCAACCCATGTAAAGCTGAATAATGCATGAAAATGAAAGCAAAATTTATGAGATGTCACATAAGCAATTCCTAAAGAGAAATTTATAGCTTTAAATTCCTACATCAGAAAAAAAACAAGGTCTTAAATCAGTTATGTAATTGTTCACTTTAGAAAAGTAAAAAAAAAAAAGTCAAGCTAAACCCACTTTAAGCAGAATAAAGAATAACAGTAAAAGGTAACTTGATACATTGATGATAAACTGATTTTTAACAAATGTGTCAAGTCAGTTCCATGAGGAATGACCATCTTTTCAACAACTGGTGCTCAGTTAACAGGATATCCAAAAGCAAGAAAATGAATTTAGTCCCTTAGCTCCTCTACATATGAAAATTAATTGAAAATAGACCATAATCTTAATCAAAAGACATAAAACTATAAAACCCTCTAGAAGAAAACATAAGAGAAAATCTTCATGTCATAAAGCTAAGGTATAAAATTCTTAGATATGACTTCAAATATACTATCCATAAAAGAACAAATTCATAAACTAGATTTAATCAAACTTTAAAACTTGTGCTTCAAAAGACTCTATGAAGAAGTGAAAAGAAACTACAGGGTGGGAAAAATCTTTGTAAATCATATATCTGATAAAGAACTTTTATCTAGAACATATAAATCCCTCTCACAATTCAATAAGAAGGCAACACAACTAAGAATATGGCAAAAGACTTGAAATAGACATTTTTCCAAAGAATACATATGAATAATATATAATACAGACTCAAAAAAGATTTCAGTATCACTACTGACATACAAATTAAAGCTACAATGGGATGTCACTTTAAACCTGCCAGTCTGGCAATAATAAAAAAGACAAACAATACCAGCTGTTGGTGAGTATATAGAGAACTGAAACACAACTACAGTAGTCCCCCTTATCCGTGGGTGACATGTTCCCAAACCTCCAGGGGATGTCTGAAACCAGTTAGTACTGAATCCTATATATAATGTTGTTTCCTATAGTTATATGCCTATGATAAGTTTTATCATGTGTTGAACTTGACAATGTTCAGCATGAGATTTTTTTTCTTTCCTTATTGAGTACTTTCACTTTTTTGCTAAAGGAAGCACTTTATGGCTTCTCTTTAACATATCTGAATTGCCTTGCCATTATTAAGTAAAAAAAGGGTTACTTGAATATAGCATTGTGGATCTGATCAGCCAGATGGCTACTAATGGGTGGGGAGTGTCCACAACACGGACATGCTGGACAGAGGGATGATGTACATCCCAGGTGGGACACAGCAGAACTGTGTGAGATTTCATCATGCTATTCAGAATGCCACAAAATTAAAAATGTATAAACTGTCTACTTCTAGAATCTTCCATTTAATATTTTCAGACCTTGGTTGACACTGGGTAACTGAAACCATGGAAAGTGAAACTATGAATAAGGGGGTACTACTGTACACTATTGGAGGGGATGTAAAATAGTATAGCCACTTTGAAGAATAGTTCGGCAATTTTTTTAAAAGTTAAATAGAAACTAGCCATATGATCCAACAAATATGTTCTTAGAAATCTTCAAGAAAAGTAAAAAATATCCACACAAAGACATGTTGTGTGAGTATTTATAGCTGGATTATTCACAACAGCCAAAAGCTAGAAACAATCCTAATGTCCATCAACTTGTAAACGTAT